CCCCCCACCCCCACCCCCCCCCCCCCCCCCACCACAAGGCCGGCGACAGCAAGGCCGGGGCCATGCGGAGGTCTATGGATGACCTGTCCGCGCCCCTTCACCACCGGAGCATCCCCAACGGCCTCAACGGTGAGCCTCTCCCCCTCCTAGCCGTGCTGGCAGCAGGTGCCGCCGGCCTTGCCCTGTGCCACCTCCCCTTGGCAGGTCCGGTCCCCCTTGGCAATGGGGCGAGGGATGCCGGGGGAGGGGAGTCCTTGCCATCCCCACCCCTGCCCATCCTTGGTGACCGACCTCTTTGGAAGAGCAGCCCCGGGGGCCGGGGAGGGGCACCTGTGTGCAGCAGGGTGAGGGTGGTGCTCCTTGACTGTGTTATCGATGTCTGGGGCTGCGGGTTGGAGCCTTTTTTATCTGGAGGGCTGGTGTTTTGTTTTGTTTGGGTTTTTTTTGACAAAAACCAGCCTGAGTTTTCAGGGTTAAATAAACACTGATTTTTCCATCTCTTCCTCCTCTCTCTCTCTCTCTCCCCCTTTAAATGTTTCAGTTTACGTTTGGCTTGTTTGTTTGCTAGTTTGATAAGATTGATAAAGAGCCTGGATGAGATTTGGGAAGCATCTGATGAAAATGCAGGTCTGCCCCACAGAGCATCACCTGTTAGCTCCATGGGCTCTCAGGGCAGGCTGGCTCTGTCATGCTGAGCAGCTTTGGAGAGGTGCAACTCGGCTTCTCCCCCGCTCTGCTTCAGAAACAGGAGGTTTGTTTGTAGAGAAGAGACTGCTCTCAAAGGGACGCTGTACTCACAATTTTGTTCAGCCTAGTCATTAAAGTTAGAAACGAGCTCCACTGTGAAATCGTGCCAAGCCTCCTCTGACAGTTTGTATTCAAGCAAAGTTTCTCCTGTTGTCTAATAGTGATCAGGCATTAAAATAATAATATTGGAATGTCTTTAAAATGGAGATTTTTTTTGTCTTTTGAAACCAACAAGACCAAATACTTGACTTCTAGAAGGAGTAGTTTGGTCAAGAGGGTTCAACAGGAATCAAACCAGGCACCAATCTAATTAATTGTTGTATATAAGACTCCTTTTAATGTTCTTAATCCTCTTTTCCAACCAGAGAGGACTATCTTCTGGTTGGGGTACCCTTTCCCCTCCTCCAGAGGTTGACTCTGAATGGTGTCAGTAGTGGATGTGTTTACCAGATAACCGTGCCTTCAGCTCCCAGAGCTTTTGGTGGTCCTGTTGGGACCAGGGAGTGCTGGTCCTTTTTTTGGTGATCTATGGCAAGTCCTTACGCCCCAAGAGATTTGAGGGCACGCAGCACTGATCAGCCCAGTTCTCAAGTTCATGAATTTGCCATGAATTTGCCTGTTGTTGCAGCTGTGTGTCTCCGCTCACAGCAGGAGATGTTCTGGCCACCTCACCCAGTAGACAGGGATTGCTGGTTTCAAGGGTGATCCAGTCACCAGATGTTGCAGGGTTCAGCAAGCATCTTTAAACGTTTGTTGTTTTTTTTTTCTCTCTCTCTCTCTCTTCCCCCTAGTGCTGTGTAAATCAGAAGTATCTGGTTTGTAAATCTGCAGATAGCTCCTGCTCCTGATGTGACTTGACTTTATTTTCATAAAGCATTGATTGCTCTGCACAGCGGCCTGGAGAGCACTTGGCAGATATTGAATGTGCCGTTGCTGTTTTGGGACAGAAGGGCTTTGCAGTTCTGGTTTGTGAACCTTAGACCACATCCCTTTTAGGTATCGACAGCTGACTAGGACAAAGCCAGTTGAATTCATTCCTGTTAACCCAGGGCTCTTGTGCATATGGGACACCACCACGGCCTCAGCTGTCCCTTAAACCTGGTGTGAGGCACTGTGGATTCTTTGCATGGGATTCAAGTCATCCCTCTCTGCGTGAAGAGGAAAGTCTCTGCTTGCAGAGCTCAGTCTTCATTGCCATCCTCAAACACTGTGTGCGGGACGGTGCCCAGCAGCATCATTTGGAGAGGACTGAGAGCTGAGCCTCATGTCCTACCCTATGTAGGGTAAGCGTAGGGAGGGGTGGTAGAGCATCTGCACATGTATATGTTTCCATGCGTGCCTCTGCTCCTATATAGGAAGGAGGCGTATGGGCTCAAGCATTTCAGATGTGACCTTAGGTTTTAGTGACTTCTGGTTTTGGGATACCTGTGGAAGATGGTCTCTGTGGGAAGCACTGAAGCTAGCTCTTTGTGGCGAACCTGCGTGGCTTCATTTCTGAAGGTGGGACAGATATGATCAGCCCTTTTAAAGCTAATAATTCTTGTAAAGAGGCAAACAAGCCGGATCTTTGCACTTAGGTAGTGAAGCTGTAAAATGACTTGAACAGTTGTCGTTCTCAGATAGCATCGGTATTCAGCAAGGCCATTTCCCTGACTGTGCCTTTGGAAATGCCTCTCAATACATATGCAAATGCAAAGCTTATCAGGCCCCTTTTTTGACTGACAGCAAGAAGTCTGGGAGGGGGGGCTTGCCTGGGACCAAGCGCAATTCTGTTAAGCCTGTGACAATGTGGAAGAGCAGGGCAGGTGAATGTGAAAAACAAACCCAGGAGTCAAGTGGGTAGTGGAGCTGTCACGGAGCAGCCCTGGCAGCGAGCATCCTTCCACGTCGCCTGGTGCCGTCTCTGCCTTCCGTCCATGTGGCTTAGATCTCAGCCTTTTTATACTCTTTTCCTGATGATTTTTTTTCCCCGGGGATAAAACGGAAGGGAGGAAGAGGAGAAAGTGTGGCCTTTCATTTTTAGGTTGCAAACTTCAGTCTGGTTTGCTGTTGTCTCATGTCTTTAAAACACTGGATAACTAACCGGTGGATAAAGCAGAAACTGCCCGGCCAGCTCAACTAATACGGAAATGAATGGCCCTCTTATACTTTCTTACAGAGGGTGGAGGGGGATCTCAAATGGATGCAGGGCAGAATTTAGCATCTATAGTAAGAACACAGCAGAAGCCCTGGACAACTGGTGGGGGCAAGGCGTGGTGAGCTGTTTGCTAGAGCGCTTTTGTGTACGGCAAAGCTGGAAAGTCCTGAAATGTGCTGCCCCTGCTAGTCGTATCAGTGGGGCTTTGTGTTGTGCTCTGCTTTTCTAGGTATTAAGCAGGACTGCTTCACTTGTTTAGTGCTTTTCTAAAGGAGTCAAGAGTATGGCTGCTGTTAAATGCTCCTAGGGAGGTAGCTTTTTACTGAAATCTTAGTGAGCAAAGGTGGATTAAATATTTCTCATTTTCTCTTCAGCAATCCTTTGGAAGTGAGTTGGTAAACCAGGGCTTGATTTATTGGCCCCAGTGACCCACCCTAATGTGAGGTGATGAACTCTAGTTTTGTAACATGAATTCAGTATAAATGGTATGAGTTTAAAAAACCCCAAAAAACTAAACCAACCTGCGATCCATCTTCCCTTCACTTCCCTGAAGTCTGTTTACTTTTATAAACTGGCTTTTTGGAAGCTGATACCTGGAACCTGATGATTAATTATCCACTCATAGAAGACAAGGTAATAAGTATAACTGATAGTGTGAATGCAGCTAATACTAAATCACACATGTAATTTTACGCAGCTCTGGATATTCTGCTGAGAGCCAAGAGGAAGTCTGCTCGGTCTGAAAGTAAATGGTGTTTCCATTCTCCATGTGTGAGCTGGGACCTGGGCTGCAGGACAGGGGCATGTCCAAGCTACATGATGGGAATTGGCCAGTTGCATCCGTGTTGAGTGATATGCCACAGTTCCCATAAATCTACCCACAGATCCAGGACAGAAATCGAGGCACAGTCACTGTGTTGTGCTTGTGAGTGCTTTGGCTTTCCTGTGTATGCACAGCGGGAGTCTCTGTGTGCATACGTAGTCTTTCTGCCCGTCCAGCTTTAGGCAGCGTCATTGGAGTGATGGGCACTGCTACTGCCTGGTTCCTGCCAGAATAAAGTTTCAAAAAAAAAAAAGAATTAAAAAAAAAAAAAAAAGACAGCCACATTGGGTGATATTAACACGACCTGGGGGAAGGAAAAAGCCTTCAGGTACCATAGGATATGTCCCTGGACTGTGAGGTATGTGGGAACATTGGGAGGAGTGACTCGAAGCTCCCTGAGGCCAGGGCAACGGCTTCCACTGGTTTTAGTCTTATCTAGATCTGACTGGGACAACTGTTTATCCATCTGCCAGCCTGGAGGCATACAGACTCACTAGCTGGTGATGTGCCTGGGACAAAATCCTGTGCATGCAGGCAAAGCTTTCAGGCTTTAATTTTTTCCCCCCATCAACTGAATATTGTTGTTAGAACTTCTCCTTCAGCTTCCACTGAAGCTGTTTGCTCTGGGTTCCCAAAATGGGCATTTGCTTTATTTCAGTTGGGTAAAATGTTAATGCATTTCTTTATCAACGTGAACAGTTGTTGGGTTTTGGGGTTTTTTTTAATTATTAAAAGCACCAACACTTAAAAAGTGGTCAGAGAAGCCCAGAAGAAAGCCATGGATATGGCAGATAGCCTGTAGTAGCAGGGATATTAATCTATGGCCTCTTGCTGTTGTCTGCTCCAACGGAGGAAGAATGGTCTCTCTGGGTGAGGGGGTGGGAAGATCTCTGCTTCTATTGATTCCCACTTGTAAATGTCCACATATTTACCTAGAGGGTATGATATATTACAGTTAAAATGGTGGCAAAGAGAAATGGCTGTTCCCTGTGGGTTGGTATTGATTGAATGTGCAGCTACCCTGTACTTATTTCTCCTCTTCTTCACACACCCTTTAGGCCAAAGTTCTTTGTTTTTATTAGCGTATTTATAATCAATATACATATTATTTACTATGACGTATTAATGAGGCCTTTGAGATGAGAAGATGCAGGGGCAGAAGCAAAGGGTGAGGTTCATCCCATTTAATTTGAGATATCTCCAATATAGACTTTAACATCTGCGTCCCCTTGGGCTTCCTTTATCGGCCATGTGGAGAAAGGCACTTTGGTGTCATGATTTATGTCAATTATGTCTGCTTCAGAGGGAGTTGTACGCTAATAGTGCTCTTTCTCTCTGCTGTTGGGGAGGCAGCCTGCATGGCTAGTTCATATGCAACCATCTAAAGTCGGGTGAGGTCAGTCCTATTCAAGGTGGTGTGGT